TCACCCGAGCACCTTTCTTCACTTTTCTGTACCCATGTGTGCTGTGAGGATTCTGGTGCAGACCTTGCTGTCTTCAGACAATTTGTGAGAAAAATGCACAGAAAGTGCCTGACTGCAACTAATGACTGATACCTAAAAGATGCTCCTTTCCCCCTCGTAATCGTTAGCAAGAGCGTGCATTCTATAAACATTTGGCACAAGCTCATTTTCTATTCCCAAATCGCTGTGTACACTGAGCATAATCAAGATATCTCATGTAAACAGTGAAGGGAGCTGTCCTTTCCAGGGTCAGATCAAGAAAAGAGATAAAGCTCCACAGGAGAGGGAGAGGTTCCAGAATGATGAAGTTGCAAGTGCAGAGGCGTGCTTTCGAAATACAAATCTGAACAGGTCCCTTCCCTTCTTAAAGGGCTCCAAAGACCCCCTCTCCAACATTGCCTGTAGGATAAAATTCAAAATCTTTACTAGATGAAATGCAGCCCTCAATAAGCTAAGCATGCTTAGCAACCTATAACACCCTGCTCTGCAGTGATTTTTACAGTGTTTCCAGTTCTCTGAATGCACCCCAGCCTGAATTTGACTTCCAGCCCTCAGACCATTTCTCTACTTCCAGTATTCCTTCTTTCGGCTCAGGAGGACAGTTTGGCCTGCCTTCCCCTTTTTGGCTTTCCCCACGCTCTGTTTGTGTTAATCACAGTTTTTCACACTGTACTGTATTTACCTCCCTTGAACCCACACAGACCTGGATGAGCTTCAGCATCCTGCCAACCACTTTGCCTGAGGCAAGCCTGACACTCAGATGTTTATTGAATTTGAACTTCTGAAATTTTCAAATTTTGGCTGAGTTTGACTCTATAATTAATATTGGAGGAAACAAAGGGCTGCTGGTGGTCAAGGCCTGTGGCTGCTTCTCCAAGTGGATGCAGATTTGTCTTTAACATGGCAGTGTTACAAGTTATATGTTATATGGTAACTTAGTTCATCTGAATAATGGAAATATCTATCTCTTTGGACATATTTATCACCAACAAAAAGGATAACTTTACTTGGCAAGGCAATAACATGTGCTTTTGATATATCTAAATCAGTTCAATTCAGTCACTCAGTTGTGTCTGACTCTGTGATTCCATGGACTGCAGCACACCAGGCTTCCCTGTCCATCAATAACTCCCAGAGCTTGCTCAAACTCATGTCCATTGAGTTGGTGATGCCATCCAACCATCTCATCCTCTGTCAGCCCCTTCTCCTATCTAAATCAATTAAGAGTAATTAAAAATCTCAATTTTTTAAAAAAAAAGACTGATCCTATAAAGTGCTTGAGTGTTCAGCTTTTTATAATGTAAGCAGTCCAAATTGGTGGAGAAGGCAATGGCACCCCACTCCAGTACTCTTGCCTGGAAAATCCCATGGATGGAGGAGCCTGGTAGACTGCGGTCCATGGGGTCGCTAAGAGTCGGACATGACTGAGCAACTTCACTTTCACTTTTCACTTTCACACATTGGAGAAGGAAATGGCAACCCACTCCAGTGTTCTTGCCTGGAGAATCCCAGGGACGGGGGCGCTGCCGTCTATGGGATCACACAGAGTCGGACATGACTGAAGTGACTTAGCAGCAGCAGCAGCAGTCCAAATTGGATGAGTCCAATTTGTGTTTATGGGCTGCTTCTTTCTCTATTTTATGATGTATTTTATTGAAATTCAAGATCAGCTCTCAATTTAACATACTACTATATATCAGTTCAGTTCAGTTCAGTTGCTCAGTTGTGTCTGACTCTTTGCAACCCCATGAACGGCAGTACGCCAGCCTCCCTGTCCATCACCAACTCCTGGAGTTTACCCAACTATATATACAAAGGCTCCAAAATTCTTTCATATTCTAAAGCTGATGTTTGCACATGTAGTACACCAAGAAGAATAAACAATTAAACAAATTAGAAAAAGTCTTATTTCTTCAACTCAAATAGTAATTATCTGAAGACAGAGGGTTTCTTTTACATACATTCCATTGCCTAGCATAAAGAAACAAATCCCAATTTGTACAATGACATATCTGCAAAGGTAAGCATTACTGCAATGTGAGTTGTTTATAATTATTGCTAATACACCTATCCAACAACAGAGGATTAGTTAAGGAAATCATATTACAATTATTGGAATAAATGCAAATAATAGGAGTTTTAGAAATTATATGAAAAATGCTTACTATATATTGCAAGGAAATATAAAATATTAAAACTCTATATGTAGTATGATAGAGGTGTATTTAAAAAAATGAGAAAGACAAAGGTAAAATGGCAAAATGTTTACTGTGGTAGAATCATGTGCGGGAAAACTCTCTTCTTGGCTCCCCAATCTCACCACTTTGACACCTTCCAGTTTTCTTTTCTCCTCACCTCAGACCTCCCCAAGCACAGCCAGTTCTTCAACAATGCCTTTCAGGATCAATCCAGACCCACATCACCCTACACAGAGGTTTTGAGAAAAGACTCCCATTTAGCCTGTCTTCAGTCTCATCCAACTATCATATCTACTGTCAGAATAAGACAGTTATTCTACTTCTAAATTATCTACTGTGGTAATCTCTTCATTTATGTTTTCTGCATTTTTATGTATGTGTTATCTTTGTCAGTAAAATTGGGGTTTTCATGTAACTCACTGTGGTTTCATATCTTGTTTTGCTAGGATAAGATTAGGATTCATGATTCTCTGTTGATACGGTCCTTATTAATTACACTTCTAAGTGGAATGTTTAGCCAGGATAGGCGGGTTTCTGTCTGCAGCAATGTAGCTGACAGAGGCCAGCTCCTCTTCTGCATTGTCTGCCAGCTCCCGCATGTTTACCAAAACAAACTCCTTAACATCTTCTAAAACCCAGCTTAAAATTTTTTTAATTTTCTATCATCATCCAACCCACCCAATATATGCTACCTTAATTCATCTTGCATCATATTCTGCAAATATTTATCAAGCAGATCCTAGTTGCAAGGCTTGAAAAGTTAGCCTTACTTTGTTTACAGTCTTTCTATGGACCATGACTATTGATGAAAGAAGCTAAGCAACAATAAAAAATGACATAAGTGATAAACAAATGTTCAGCAGTGGGGAAGAGGGAGACTGGCAAAGAGAAGGGAACAGAAGTGAGAATGAGGAAGGCTAGAAGGAAGAGACAAGGTAGAAGCTGAACAGAAGAGGTTTCGTGATTGGGAAAAGTGTGATGTGAGACACGACCTCTGAGTTTTGCACTTGGGTGACTATGATAAAGGGGAGGGAGGCTAACATAACTGGTGTTAACTAGAAATGCTTTGGGGCAAAGAAAGACAAATCCAAATGAAATACAGTAAATCCCCTACATACGACCAAGTTCTAGTCTAAGAGTGTCTCTGTAAGCCCAACAGAGTTAGTACTATATTGTAATAGGTTTGTAATGCTTCTCACACAAATAATTCATAAAAAACAAACACAAAAAATAAAGAAAACGTGTACAGTTGTTCAGCAGCTGGCATCAAGTGAAGAGGCAAGAAGAGGCACTGACTGAGGAGGGAGGAGAGACGGGAGATGACAGAACTGAAGGGTCATCAGCAAAGGAGATGGAGAGCAAGCTGCTGTTTCAGTCACACCTGACATCGATGGTGCAGACTGTGGTTTCTTGCTGGAACCAGAGGCACACGTGCACCTTTGAAAGCTCACAATCGGGAAGGTTCTTCACATGGGGGGGCCTTGCTGTGTTACAATATGCACTGATAGATGCTACATGAAAACTGAATAAGATCCATGGACACCGCAGAATTCAGGTGAGTAAGTAGCAGTGATAACCTAAGTAATGAAATGCTATGAAAAGGAAACCTAAATGAGTGCAAAGTTACACAAAAAGGAAAAAAGGAACCAGAGAATGAGAGCCTGGCCAGTGAAGCATGAAACAGCACAAGGACTTCAAGAAAGTCAGGGAGGAAAGAAAGGCACTAACTCCAGGTGAGTGGGTACCCACAGTTCCAGGTGAGTGGGTACCCACAGTTCCAGGTGAGTGGGTACCCACAGTGGTTGTTACCAGCCTCAGCCCTGGACCAGAGCCCCTGATCTGGAACCTCAGTTGGAATCTCCTCCTGCTACTTGTGTGCCTTTGGGCAAGTTCCTGTGTCTCAGTTCTCTTATCTGAAAAAGGATCATGTTTTCATTTATTTACTCCATAGGGCTGCTGCAAGAATTAACAGATTTGATACAAGTTCTTAGAACAAACAGTGCGAGGCCAAGAAGCATTCAATACACGTCTGCCACTGGGGGTGGAGGGAATTTTTTTTTTTTTTTTAATCCTCAGTGACCTAGAGGGGAACAATTTCAAGCCAGCAGTAGAAACAAAAACTACAAAGTAAGGGAATTAACAGTCAAGTGATGGGCAAGAAGACTGGGGACAATCAAAAGCATGATGACTCTTTCAAGGCAGTAAAACAGTAAGAGCAAGAAACAGTAACCTGAGAATATAGGGTTAAGTGAAAAAGCTTTTCGAGGGAATAGATCCTAAGAGGAAAAAGGCTTGGTCGCCAAAACTATCCTTCAGTCGTGGTGGGACTTGTTTTCCCCAAGCTGGACAGGGGTAGAGACCAGATCCTTCCTGTCCCAGCCTTCCCCAGGGAGCTCTAAAGAACGCTCCCTTGGCATCCGGTAAGTTTGAATCAGCGCTGGTTGATTAGGGGGGAAGGCCCATTTTCTAGCCAACGATACCTCGGAAGATGAAACAACAGGCTTTCCGATTTCCATCTCCGGCACGACCTGTTCTACCGCTCTGTACTCATCACCCTCCTCAGCCAGCAGCCGCTGCCGGGACAGGATGCAGTTCAGGCAGCCAGAAAGGGAGCGCCCGCTGCAAGAGCAGCGCCCCCGAGTTCATTCTGGCCTCGAGGACACAAAAGCACCCCAGAGGGGAAAGAAGCAGAAAGAAAGGGGCTCGGGCAGGCGGGGTAGGGGTAGGCTGTGGCGAGCAAGGCCAGATCCCGGAGCTGGGAAAATGACCTCGGCGGTCAAGGTCGAGGAGGTCCCTCTTCTTCCCCGTCCCAGCAGCAAGCACCTTTGTCCTCCCGCCTAGAACAGTGGGGCCCGGTCCCCCGGGAAAGCTCGGGGAGGGCTCAAAACCCAGGGACGGCGGGGACCACCGTCCCTGTGGGATGCTGGGGCGTGGGAGGCTGGGGGGCTCCCAGGGAGGGCGCAGGTGAGCTCCGCGGCCCCGCCCGCCGGAGGAAAGGTCTTTGACCCTGGGCACTAGCCGGCGTCGCGGCCACAACTTCCGAAGCGCCCCCCAGAGTCCAGACAGGGCCTGGCCGGGCTCCTGAGTCTTCCGGACCCGGATCCCACTCCTCGCGCGCCGCGCCCAAGTTCCTTCCACTAGGCTGCCCTCGATCCCCCGGTGTCGGGGTCCTCTTCCTCTCCTCCCCCCATCTCTCCTCCTCTGCGCCCCGGAAAAGTTAGGCCCCGGCCCCCCGGCTGGGAGCCCCGCACTCACCCCGCGAGGAGCGGAGCCGAAGCGCCCGGGCGCGCGAGCAGAGGGCGGCGGCGGGCGGCGGCGCGAACGCGGAGCTCCTCACAGCGGCCCCTGCTGCCCTAGCCGCCGACCAAGCTGGAAAAGGGGCGGAGGCGGCCGGGGTGTCACCTGCCCGCTCTCCCACCCTGCCGCGTGACGCCGCGCAGCGCCGCCCCCTGCCCGCCCTCCGCGGCCGCCAGGTACCCGCGAGGGGGCGCGGGGAGGAGCCGCCCGCTGGGAAGGACCCGCTGGGAGGTGCGCGCGGCCTCGGGCGCCCCTCCTCCGCCTGGCTCCGCGCGCCGCCGCTCGCGTCGCGGCTGGGACCGGGGACCCAGGGCTGCTCAGGAAGATCGGTTCTGGCCTCTGGACTAATTACATTTCTTTCTGATCACAGATGTCATCACCTGAGGTTATCTCGAGGCTTAAAATAATAAAGGCTTAAATAATGTGAAAACTGTTGTCAAGCATGACTCAGGATTAAGTTGCAGAAAAATCTGAAATGAGGAAAAGCTGGCTGAGGATGAGGCTGGCGGCGGAGCGGTAGAAAAAAAAGGGACTTCTCGCTCCTGAAAAGGCTCGTTCGGAGGGTTAATTCATTGTCTAAAATGGAGGCCAGACCCAACGGCCGTGAGAGGCCCAGTGCAGGTCAGCCCCACCCCTACTTATTAAAAACTAGAGAGTTGCGGCGAATACTGGGGTGCGAAGGGGGCTATTAGAGCAACGAAGAGGAAACCGTATATAATCTCAGTTAACCTCCTTGTCCTGATTCGTAACCGCAGCTGCTGCAGCCAGCACCCCCCAGCACATTGCCTTCTTATCCGGGGCTGGACTGAGTGGTGGGGTGAGGATGAATGCCAGGTGTTGCCTTGCTTTGTGTCTGATCTTGATCCTCCTAACCGCTGTCATGTTTGGAAAGCCTGGCGTCAATCTGGAAGGTAAAATAAGAATCCTAAGAAGTCAGTTATTGTGGAGGCAAAAACCCAAGAACGAGAATTGAGTTGTCTTCTAGAAGCCGGAAGGTAGCGGGAGGGGCTACAGTCCTGACCCCCGCAATTCACAAACATGGTCTGTGGGTTTCTGCTGTGAGTTTTAAGCATGAAATCACTGCCGGAAGGTCCAGACTACCCAGGAGGAAGGGGAGGGAGAAGAAGCATGTTTCAAGTACCGGTGTGGCCTTCCACCACCTAATCCTACTGCATCAACAGGAGATTTTAAAGGTTTTGTACAAAATGTTGAGAGCCCCCATAGTAGCCACTGGGGAGGGGGAAGGCAACAAACAGGACAGCTCAAATTTAAGAGAATCCCAGCTTCAGCGAAACTAAAGGCAATGGAAATAAAATATCATTAATCATTTAGATATTCTTTTTTTGTTGTTTTTGTTAGGTACATCCATATTTATTTTTTTCCCAATTATTTTTATCAGTTGGAGGCTAATTACTTTACAATATTGTAGTGTTTTTTGCCATACATTGACATGAATAGGCCATGGATTTACATGTGTTCCCCATCCTGAACCCCCTTCCCTCCTTCCTCCCCATCCCATCCCTCTGGGTCATCCCAGTGCACCAGCCCCAAGCACTTGTCTCATGCATCCAACCTGGACTGGCGATCTGTTTTACACTTGATAATATACATGTTTCGATGCTGTTCTCTCATAGAACATCATCGCCTTCTCCCATAGAGTCCAAAAGTCTGTTCTATACATCTGTGTCTCTTTTTCTGTTTTGCAAATAGGGTTATCATTACCATCTTTCTAAATTCCATATATATGCGTTAGTATACTGTATTGGTGTTTTTCTTCCTGGCTTACTTCACTCTGTATAATGGACTCCAGTTTCGTCCACCTCATTAGAATTTAGATATTCTTGCCTCTTGATTATTGTGATCCTGAAGCCTGGAATTCTTTGTTAAAATAGGTTGTTAAGTATTAGAGAAACTAAAGATTTCTCCTTCTGTTTAGATAAACTTTGCTTTCATCATAAAAACATGCCATTTAATAGAGGTGGCTACTGGGAACTAGAGACAATTGCTTAACAATATTTGCTTTTGTGTTTGTCACTATCTACCTACCTACACATAATTATGAAATTTCAAATATGCGAAAAGGTCAAATGGATTCATTCATTTAACATATATATTCAGTGCTTTTAAGTTCCAGGCTCTGGAGATTCAACAGATAACAACAACAACAAAAATCCTCTGTTCTTGTGGAATGTACCCTCACTTCCCTTCATTCTAGTTGGGGGTGACATACCACAGAAGAATAAACAAGTGAAATACAACTGTCATGTTATGATGAGTGCTACCAAGAAAAATAAAGAAGGGAAAGAGATAAGGGTTTTTGGAGATAGGGAGTTGGAATGTTAAAGTAGCTAGGGAAGCCCTCAATTGAAGGAGGCATTTGAACCAAAATTGTAAAAAGATAAGTGGCAAGGTTGTGTGTCTGTCTGGGTAACAGCAGTCCAGCCAGTGGGAACTATGAGACTAATGCTATGAGCGAGCATCAGATGGTCAAGTTCACAGAACAGCAAGGATGCCAGAGTGGTTGAACCTCAGTAAGTGAGGCCAAAGGGTCAAGGGAGGCATTTTGAGTAAATATGTGACATCATGTAACTGAAGTTTTTAGAGGGAGCACTAAGACAAGTCTTTTGAGAGTAGGACAGGAGCAGGATGGGAAAGGTAGAGGCACGTTGGTAATTAGGAGTCTCTTACAACATCCAGGTGAGAGATAAAGGTGGCTTGGACCAGGTTGACTGGGAGTGGTTAGAGAGAATCAAAATTTAAAAATATATTCTAGGGAATTCCCTGGTGGTCCAGTGGTTAGGACTCCACCCTTTCACTGCCGAGGGCCCAGGGCCAATCCCTGATTGGGGAGCTAAAATCCTACAAGGCAAAAACATACACACACACACACACACACACACACACACACATATATATACTGAAGGTAATATCAAAAGGATTTCCAGAGGAGCTGACATACATTGTGAAGGGCGGGGGGAGGTTGAGGATGACTCCAGGGTGTTTGTAGGTGGAAGGAAAGAGTTGCCATTTACTAAGAAAAGGAAGACCAAGAGAAGACAGTTGAGAGGGGGACATCAGGAGCTGTTTGTGGGACTGATTTAAGATGCCTATTAGATATCCAAGTGGAGGTGTCAGGTAGGAAGTTGTTTCTACCAGTCCAGAGTTCAAGACAGAGGTCTGGCCTGGCAACATAAATTTGGGAGAAGTCAGCTTTCACATTATATATATGGTCTGAGAATGGCTGGCTAAAAGCACCATGAAGGGGGCTAGAGAAGAGATTTTAGAACTTTATCCTGGGGCACCCCAGGTATCCCATCAGTCAGAAGTGAGAAGGAACAATCCTGGGCCTGGAGTAAAATCAGAAGAGTGTGGTCTCTGGCAGGCAAACGTATGAGTCAGCTATTGCCTCAACAGTCCTACATAACAAATCACTTCAAAAGTTCATGGCTTTTAGCAATATACCTGTCCTCATGCCTGTGAGTCAGCAGGCTGGTTGAGGTTCAGTCGACCTAGATGAGTGGCTTGCGTTAGGTTGCAGATTTAGCTTCAGTTTGTTCCATGTGTGTTAATTCTGGAGTCCAGAATGAAGAGTCAGTAGCCACAGGGAAAAGATCTTCCCATGGTAGATAACTGGGGTATAAGAACCAGTCCGTACCGCGCACGCTCTTGGGGACTCTGCTCGCATCAAGTTTGCTAATATTCCATTGGCTAGAGTAGGTCAGATGGGCAAATCCAGCATCAGAGGGGAAGTGAGGAACGTACTTAACCCACAGTGAAATGGTGAGGAGAAAGAGTATTTGCTGAAAAAAATCTATACTTTTGTCACGGCAAGGGAAGAAAGTGTTTCGAGGTGGGGGGAATGATCAACTGAAAATGAGAAATCGGTCCTTGATTTGGCAATACAGGAGTCATTGGTTGACCGTGACAAAAAACAGGTCTGGGGGAACAGAAGGAACAAAAATCCCAAATGAGATGAGTTACAAGAGTGAGTGGGAAGGGCTTCCCTAGAGGCTCAGTGGTCAAAAATCCACCTGCCAATGCAGGGGACACAGGTTTGATCTCGGATCCAGGAAGATCCTGCTTAGCACAGAGCAACTGAGTCTGCACCACAGCTACTGATTCTGCACACCCAAGACCTGCAACTTCTGAAGCCTCTGCACCACCCAGCCCGTGGTCTGCAAGGAGAGATGCCACCGCAATGAGAAGTCCAGGCACCATAGCGAGAGTAGCCCCCGCTCACAGCAACTAGAGGAGAGCCCACGCGGCAAGGAAGACCCAGCACAGACAAAAATAAATACATACAATTAAAAATTAAAAGAGTGAGTGGGAAGAGAGAAACTGGAGAAAACAAGTTTAGACAATTCTCTCAAGGCTTTTTGTGGCAAAAAGAAGAAATGAGGTAATGGCAGGAAGAAGAATTGATTCGAAGGAGGCTTTTTTAAAATGTTCAGTTCAGTCACTCAGTTGTGTCCGACTCTTGGAGACCCCTTGGACTGCAGCAGGCCAGGCTTCCCTGTCCATCACCAACTCCCAGAGCTTGCTCAAACTCATGTCCATCGAGTCAGTGGATGACATCTAAAATATGTTTGTACACTTTGGAAAATTTTAGTAGACAAGGAAAAACTGATAATGCTGCAAAGATAGGACAATTGTTGTAGTGATGCCCTTGAGTGTGTGAGAGGGGTGGGACTTGGTACACAGGATAGGAACTTGGCCTTAGATATGAATATGCACATTCACCCATAGGCAATAGAAGGAAGGTAGAGTAACAGGCACAGACTGTGGAAGGTAGGAGATAGTCAGATTAGACAATTAGGTTAATAGGTTAGTTTAGGTCAGATTTCCCAGAGGCAGACTTGAGGCAGGAAATCATGTGCAAGGGATTTACCGAGGTCAGTAACGAATACGAAGAGATCTGGGTGAAACAATGATATTGTCCACTATGCAAATGCTATGTGTGTGTGTGTTTCTCCGTGTGCGCACTCAGGCTCAGTTATGTCTGACTGTTTGCAACCCTATGGACCATAACCTGCCAGGCTCCTCTGTCCATGGGGTTCTTCAGGCAAGAACACTGGAGTGGGTTGCTATTTCCTACTCCAGGGGATCTTCCCCAACTAGGGATCAAAACGATGTCTCTTGTGTCTTCTGCATTGGCAGGCAGATTCTTTACCAGTAGCGCCACCTGGGCAGCCCTTAGGCAAATATTAATATTTTTGAAGTTTAGCTTAATT